AGCGGCCCAGCTTCAGCACTATCTACCAGGAGCTGCAGAGCATCCGAAAGCGGCATCGGTGAGGCTGGGACCCCCTGCTCCAGCCGGTGGCCTCTGCAGGCCAAGGTGCACCTCCTCAGCGGTTCCAGCTCCCACGCGAACAGCTCTTCAGTCCTGGACTCCTGCTCCCAGCATCCACACTGCCGGCAGGGTGCAGCTCCGTGTCTTCTTTGTGTCCCTGCTCCCGCCAGGGCTTCCTCTCCCAGGCAGAAGCAATAAAACCACTTGTGCCCACTGAACGCTCCTGGCATGTACACGGCTCTGGAGGGCAGGTCTCAGAAGGCATGAGAGCTGGTGTGGTGGCTGTGGGGAGGAGAAGGACAGCAGCATGCACGGGGCAGAGCTGACATGACTTGGTAGCGGCTGCATGTGAGACATGGGGAATGAGGCAGAGAGATCAGGACGATATTCAGGCTGTGGCCAGATGGCAGTGTCATTCCTTGAAATAGGATTACAGGAAGAGGATCAGAGCTTCAAGGTAGGTGCTGGGTTTAGAGATGCGGCATTTTATTGGAGATAAAAGTGTGGGTGAAGCCAGGTGTGGTGGTACACACCTGCAGTCCCAGCTACTTGGGAGGCTGAGGTGGGAGGACCACTTGTGCAAGGAGGTTCAAGTCCAGCCTGGGCAACATAGTGAGACCTCGTCTGTAAAAACAGAAAATAGGTTGGGTATGGTGGCTCACGCCTGTAATCCCAGCACTTCAGGAGGCCAAGGCATGTGGATTGCTTGATCCTAGTTTGAGACCAGCCTGAGCAACATGGCAAAACTCCATCTCTACAGAAAAAATAAAAAACAAGCAAATTAGCCAGGCATGGTGGTACACACCTATAGTCCCAGCTACTCAAGAGGCTGAGGCAGGAGGACTGATTGATCCTGGGAGGTCGAGGCTGCAGTGGGCTGTGATCATACCACCGCATTCCAGCCTGGGCAACAAAAGTGAGGCCCTGTCTCAAAACTAAATAAATAAAACTAATAAATAATTAATTTAAAATGTAGGTAAGTCTGGAAGCCCAGATGGAGGTAAAGGCTGGCAACAGATGTTTGAACCATTGGCTTACAAATGTTAGAGAATAGCTGACACTGTGGATGGATGTGTGCAACACTCACATAAAATTCAAGAGGAGCCGGGCGCGGTGGCTCACGCCTGTAATCCCAGCACTTTGGGAGGCCGAGGCGGGTGGATCACGAGGTCAAGAGATCGAGACCATCCTGGTCAACATGGTGAAACCCCGTCTCTA